AGACATGGCCGATGACAGATCTGTGTACTGGCCCTGTAGCCAGTACTATGTGACCTGCTGTGACCAATCACAGCAGGTCACATGACAGTTGTATACAATGGATGGCTTCCTTTCATGCCATCCATTGTATACAAGTGTGTATAGCTGTGAATGGTCACAGAGATCACATGCACAAGCTGGGCCAATCACAGACTGTGTCATGTGATTAGCCGTGGCCAAATCACAGCTAAGCGCAAAAAAAAAACCCTGAATGAATCGATGTCATTCAGGTAAATGCTTGCTTATAGCAAAGTAATTCTTTGCTATAAGCAAATTGTGTAAAAAAAAAAAAAAATACTGATCACTTCCCCAAAGTAGTACAATGTTACTATGGTAACATTATACTACTTTGGTCATAGTGAAATATGAAAAAGAAATCTTAAAAAAAAGAGAAAAAAATTTAATAAAAAAATAAAACTAATACAATTTTTTTACATCTTTTTAAAAAAATTATATATATATATTTTTCGTACTGTCACCAGTCAGTGTCCCTGATCACTGCCATGCCAGTTATATGATGACGCTGTACTGCACTGGTGACAGTATGTACAAAAAAAAATTAGTGAAAATAATTTTCTAAATTTTTTTATTTTCTGAAAAATTATGACAAAAAAATTACAACTTCAAAAAACTCGCCTTGCCTCTTATGAAATACGTCAGACTGTCTACTTTGCAAAAAGGGGTCATTCGGAGGATATCTGTACTATTCTGACATTCTTGGACCTCAAGGAATTAGATTGGCCGTCAGTACTTCAGGATTGATCAATATTCAGATCTATACCATAGTTTGTGAACTCTATAACTTTCCTACAAACTAAATAATACATCCTAATTTGGGTTATTTTCACCAAAGAAATGTAGTAGAATATATCTTGGCCTAAATTTATGAAGAACAATTATTTATTTGCAAACTTTTATAACAGAAACAAAGAAAAACATGATTTTTTTTTTAATTTTCGGCCTTTTTTTGTTAATTTAGCAAAAAATAAAAACCTCAGTGTTGATTAAATACCAACAAAAGAAAGCTCCAGTTTTTTGAAGAAAATTATAAAATTTTAGTTTGGGTACAATGTTGTATGACCGCGCAATTGTCATTCCAAATGTGAGAGCGCTGAAACCTGAAAAATGGCCTGGGCAGGAAGGGGGTAAAAGTGCCCTGTATGGAAGCAGTTAAAGCAGATAATAATCAAGAGTCATTAAGAGCTGGAGAGATAACATTTGGCAGACAGAAGACATATAGGGGTTTATTTACAAAAGCTGGAGAGTCCAAAATCAGACTCCCTTCTGCATAGAAACCAATCAGCTTCTAACCTCAGCTTGTTCAATGAAACTTTGGCAATGAAACCTGGAAGCTGATTGGTTTCTTTGCAGAAGGGAGTCTGATTTTGGACTCTCCAGCTTTAGTAAATAAACCCCATAGGGTCAGTCTGACTAAAATGGATTCCTCAGCTATCAGAAGATGCTGAAGACCTAAAATATTAGAGGTTTCTTATATCTCCTAGGGGCAGGGGCGGACTGACCATTTGGAAACTCGGGCACTGCCCGAGGGCCCAGGTTCAGTAGGGGGCCCCATGAGATGCCCCTGATACCTTTTTCATAGGCTTTTTTGAGTTTGGGCAAGGAAACAGGGGCCCCATGATCCCCTATTGCCCAGGGGCCCCATGAGTTGTCAGTCCGCCCCTGCCTAGGGGTTTTACTTCTGAGAGATTTATGCCTTTTGGTTGGTCTGAGCCTTTAAACCAGTGGAGTTGACATACAAAAAGATACATTTTGTGTGTGGTTAAAAGGTTATAAGTACTGTGGTTGTGTACATATTTTCTCCCTTTATTTTTTGTCCTTGGCAGATTAATATGAAATGCTGATGTGAATATTACACATCCTTTAATTTTACCAGCAGGCAGAACCTACTGGTATCCCAATGGAGTATGGGATACTCCAAAAAGCTTGATGCACAAACTGCAGAGGACTCATCCCTATCTCTAGTCAGCAGCAATACAATTACTCACTCCCAGCTAAGGACCAGGAGAATTGTTGGGCACATGTAGCAAAAATAGGCTGAAGTCTAGATTTGTGCAGCTGTGGACCACAAGACTCGGCAGCACAAGGGTTTGGCTTTACACACAGATCCTGGCAATGATCAGTCCAGAGATACAACCTTCAATGGAGTAGTTCAGCTTCCAGTTCAAGAAGGAAGAGGGTCCAGGGATAAGCAGCTCCCCTTCCCTTGAGCTTGGGGATCCATCCCCACAGGAGGGAAAAAGCCAAGAACTGTCAGGATTTCAGACTATTTAACAGTGACCCAGCCACCATCTGGGCACACCTCCCCAGGGATTGGTTAGGCCCTACTAAATATTCAGGACGGGGATTTGAATCTTCCCACTCTAAGCTATAGATGCTTCTTCTAGAGGCAGGGGGACGTAATCAAACTTGTAGCCTGTGAAACCCTGGACAGACTAAACTATACAATTACTTCTTCTGCGACTACAGCAGAAGCCAAAGCACTAAATTTGTCTAACAGTCTAGCTAGGAGGGTGCTACATCAACATGTAGATTTTTTTTTACAGGAAATTATAGTTATTTGACTAAATATTAAGGTCATGCATTAAACTTTGCAGTGCCATGCCATATGTCTCATGTATGAACACAAACAGAAACTCCTGACATTGGAATGTACAGATTTACTCTACTACAGGCTATACATACAGGCCAATAAGTGACACCAAGAAATAACATGATCAACGCACATCTTATGTGAAAAGCACATGGTGCAGGAAAGAAAATTTCAAATGCCTTTAAAGTTAAATTTTAAAAATGTGTAGCACTACCTTCTTGAGGCCGCTGGATTTGTTTTGTGTTCCCCTAAGCTCTGAGCTGCCAGGCAACATGCATTTTTCACACTTGCACATTCGGAATCAGTAAACAGTCCTTAAGCTTTTTTTTAGTTATTTTTATTAAGAAGTTTAACAACTTGGATGGGGTCTAGGAGTATGTGGGATGCCAAAGGAACTGTAAATTGAGGACAGGCTTCTTAGTAACAATATTGTACAAGAATAAAAAATGGATAATAAAAAAAACAAACACTGTCCCTTTAAGGAGCACTGAAATCCCCTTGGTAGACCCCAGATGAATCCTCCTCTCACCCAGCTGCACTGAGAGTATCCCTGGGTAAGGGATTCCACGGTCTAGCAATGAAGTAGTCCCGGATGAGAACTAGTTGGGTATTGCACCTGACCGTTGTATGATGAAATTTGTTTTTTATATATTAAAAAAATATGAAAAATATTTTAAAAAATAAATTTTCAAATATATGTCTTTGAAAATACATTTAATCTACATTTTTGGAATGCATTTACAAATATATGTAAAAATATATGTTAAAATGACTTTTTTATATGTTAAAAAAAATCTGAAGAGAATATATAATAAAAAAATATATTTTTAAATATATGTCAAAATATATTAGAGTAGGCCAATATATTGTAAATATATGTCACATATATCATTTTTTCCTAAATATATTGGAAATATATTTCTTTTCCATGTGGGTGAGTGGGACAGCGTGCAGAGCTGGGCCGCACTATGCAACCCAAAAAAAGAGGGAGAGCTCCAAGGACCACCAAGTAGGCAAGTAGGTGCAGACTCGAGAGGGAGGCCCAGGCTGTCTTTCTCCTAAGCCCACCCTAGAGAAGTGTCAGCAGTGCAGAGACCAGCCAAGGACAGTGCAGCTTACATCCTTTGTCTGCCATCATTCATACAGAGGTACTGCATCCTTCTTTCAATCCAGCATACAGGAGTGCTTGTTAGGGAACAAATTGTCATCAGGAGGACATTTGTGACATTTGTGATTCACCAGTGTCATAAGAGGCATTTTGACCACCTCTGTATATTTAATTAGTCTGCTGTTCATCATAGCTTCATTGACGTTTTGCTTCAGGGGATGGCAATTCTCCTACTCTATCTTGGAATTGCAAATACTCTTACTTTTAAAGTGAGCATTCTGAGATAGAATTCAAGGGCCCCAACAGACTTGTCATTCCATTGATCATTGGTTAGGCCTTGCATTTATACAGTAGTTAGGCTGCACTACTGTTCAAGCAGTTACTGTTGCTTTCAACATTATCCTTGTGTTACCTACAGTGTCAGAGTAGTTACCATTGTCATCATCATTCTCTAGTGCATTCTGGCCAACTATTTCACAGACAGCTAGGGGAATGGATAGTATAACTTTGGCTGCACTCAAGCTTGTGCCATATGTGATACTGGTTTTGCACTGTCATTGTAAAAGATTTACCCAGTTCCATTGCAAGGCTCATTTCTGCTTTACTAAAGTCCATTTCACTGCTGTGTCCATAATTGTGAGGTTACCACTGGGACCAGCAGGAGGACTCAAGCATATCCTGAGCCTTCTATACAAGTTGGTGCTACACTATTAATTTAACCTCCCTAGCGGTCTGATTATGTCCATATTTCTGTGCTCAAAGCGGTACATTTTTTTACATGGAAATATGTTTTTTTTTTTATTGTAGGCCTGTAATTTTTAGGAATAACTCACTGAAATCTGTCCGAACAAGAGTCTAGTAAACATCCCGGGGATGTTAAAATTTGAAACACGAAATTATAAATTATAATTTAATAAATAATCATAAAAAATAATAATATTAAATTTAATTCAATAATATAATCAAACCAAAAACACCGATATTTGAAATATAGCGCCAAGTTTGCACATCACTGAGCAAAGTCGCAAAATCGTTTTCAGTGTCTGATGACGAATTTCCTCACGAATCATTATCACTCAATTCTGCAAGTGGTTCTGATTTACTATCGCTGTTCTATAGCTGGTCTAAAACCGATTTTGACCTAAAGGGACGCTTTTTGGACGCCATGGTCATTTCTCAGTTTCCAGGCAGAAAGAACAGTAAAAATGTAAGCAGGGCACAGGACAAAGCACTCGGGACAAAATGTATGTGAAATGGTTTGATACAGTAATGTTATACTATACGATTTTAGTGAATGTCATTTTTTGTCACTTTCAAATTTCCCGCCGGTTCCGTCCCCCGTACGTCCCGACGTTGCAGGGGACAGAACCAGCCAGAAGACAGATGCTGGCATCCGCCGGAGGACATTACAGGGGACACTGCAGGAGGGACATTGCGGGAGCGCAGGACAAGGTAAGAGAAGAACAGATCCGGAGCAGCGCCGCATTGTAAGCCCGAGTGTAGCTCGGTGTTACCGCTTGTGGTACTGAAACTTTACCCCGAGCTACACTCGGGAATACCGCCAGGGAGGCTACCAGTTACAAGTTCATGAACCAATATGTTCTTTTTCATCATTTTTATAAAAATACTTAACAAGAAAGTCCATCAGTGCTGTTCACTTTATGGATGGCTCTGTCTAAGTGAGAATTCATATGAGCTAGCAGAGGGGTGTGTCTCTTCTGTGAAATTTCAGTTGCATGTTTGTGGTAATAAATTTAAACTGCAGGAGATTTTTATTAAAAAAAAGGTCGATGGATGGTTGGGATCTCTTTATTGTTTGGGTCTCTTTAATGCATTGTATCCCTTTGTTTGGGTTGATGATAAATATGGAATTAAATTTTGGATTGCAACTATGATGTGTGATAGCTTGCCTGCCGCTTGTTAATTTTTTAAGGGTGGCCTGTGGTATGATATTTGTGCACTTCATTCCACCTATCCTGGTTTTTTGTCACTCCCGATTCACACTTTACATAATTTTTTGCCTAATTATTGTTGCAGCTGATGATGCAATATATAATAATCCAACTCTGGACACTCACAGCTTCATGATTAAGCCCCATGGGCGGGGTGAAATGCATTGGAGGAGTGGTTATGGATGAAGTTGGCTAAGGCAGCTTTCACCTGTTCATCTAAAGGCTTTGCTAGGTGTGCAGGGTTTGGAACCTTTCTCTATGCATATCTGCAGGAGATTAAATTATACCAGAAATATTCAATTAATATGTAAACATACACCTAACCAATGAGGAAAACCAATTAAAAACAAATAAAATATATGGAAAAACATTATACATTACCTTGAAACTCCAGGGATACATTCAACCAGAATTTTAATCTTTTTTTTTTATTAAATTCTTCATAATTTCTCTAACCTATCTTCAGTATGTCAACAAATATTCACCAGTCCTAGAAATCAGATCCATCAAATCCAATATTCCTTTTCATTTAATGAAACATCAAATATGTAGTTTGCTATTATTTCTTTATGTTAATTTTTTTATTGTGTTTGATAGAGTAGAGAAAGGTAAGACACTTCACTTTCAAGGTTTTACTTGCTTCTTTTTCTTTTGTGAGATTCACCTTCTCTCCATGTCCTTGTAATCCTTGTCATTGAGGCAAAAGGTGGGGGAAATTCAGTAATTTGTAAAGCTGTCACCAGAACAAGACACGACTGAAAATCCACCAATATGGACACCTGTTCCACTGACAACTGTCAAAGATGGAAATCCCAGTCAAATGTTCTTTAGCATCCTGTTGTGCCTTCAGGGCAGAAAACCAACGGAAATCTCGCCAGCAGCAAAAAATAACATAAGCCGGCCACACGTGGATCAAAATTTGGCCTGTTCAGCAGGGACCAACCAATTTTCCATCCACGTATGGGCAGGCTGTTTGTACCCAAGTAAATCCAACAGCCTGACAGATTTTTCTACATGCGATTACTGCATGCAACTATAGCCGCTAGCAGCAAAAGTTGTTTTCTCCTGGCTGGGAAGGCTCCCTGCACCCCTTCACTGGCAAAACACAAAAGATCTGCAGGAGGAATTCCCCCATCAACACTGTCTGTGTTGATGGGGGAAACAAAACATGTGGTGGAAGGAAAGAAAACAGAATAATCTTTGGCAGTGGTCTCCAAACTGCAGCCTGGGGGCCTTAGCTTGCCTCTATCTGGCCCTTGGGACACTACTCCTCAAGCTGACACCAATATTGAGGCACCATTCCTCCCAATGACACCATTACTGGGGCACTATTCCTCCCACTGACACTGTCGATGGGGCACTATTCCTCCCATTGATAGCAACCATGGGTCACTATTCCTCCTGATAAAGCCAACAATGAGGTACTGTTTTCTGCCTGTTAAAACCAACAATGAGCCATTTTTTACTTCCACTGATGCTGGAACATTTTCTACTCATACTGGCCACAGTCTGCCCCCCCCCCCCCCCCCCCCCAAAGCCTGAATGACAGTAAACTGGCTCTTTGTTTACAAAGTTTGAAGACCCCTAAATTTGTGGGCTGCCGCTAAAGGGGTTTTATCCCACCCCTACTCTAATCTAAAACCAAAAAAGGTTTGGGCTTTACAAACATAATAGTTTAGGGCAGTGGTTCTCAACCTTCCTAATGCCGTGACCCTTTAATACAGTTCCTCATGTTGTGGTGACCCCCAACCATAAAATTATTTATCCAGTAATTATAATTCATGAGTGTTGTTTTACCTCCAATACTGCTGCTTTCCAACACAGTAGCTGCTTTTAACAGAGTAGCTGCTTTCAACACAGCAGCTGCATTCTACACAGTAGCTGCTCTTTACACATTAGAAATATTTGTTTTCTGATGGTCTTAGGGGACCCCTGTGAAAGGGTCGTTCGACCCCCCAAAGGGGTCGCGACCCACAGGTTGAGAACCACTGGTTTAGGGAGAGCACAAGGGAGGAGGTTACCATGAGGAAAGGAGTGATATTTTTTGCTAATTAAACTATAATTCAATTAAAACATGCTACACTAATCTGGGATACAACACTACTGAATTTGGTCAAATGTTATTAATAAATTGCACGTTTATCAGCTGAGGTAAGTGCACAGGGGACAAAACCTATTTAATACTATTCTGGTTTCCTAAAACTTTCTTGGAAAGATAAGGCTTGTGGGAACAGAGCTTTAAATGTTTTATCTTCAAATAAAATATTGCTGGTTATTTAAACTGAACACTTCTAACGTTAACATATAAATATCTTTTTATCTTTCCCTGCTGTTTTTGCCTGCTTTTAGTGAGGTCCTAAAGTAAATTTGTCACCAGGAATCATATTTATGTCTGAGTGCATTAGTTTACCATAGTAGTTCTCTGCTCAAATAGCTACAAATCTGCAACAGTGTATTTTTATTTGAAGACTGTTACTATTATTTTATGGGGTAATTTACCAAACTTAGAGCAAAAACTATCTGGGGCAATGATGGAGTGCTGGCTCATAGTGACCCATTCACAATTTATTTACGTTGTAAAACGTTTTTAAGAAAAATTAAATAAAATATGAAATTGGGTTGGTTGCTGTAGGTAACTGCTTTGCAGTTGATGTCTTTGTTCCAGTTGTAAAACCAGACCTTAAAGTAGAGTTCCAGTCATTTTTTTGTGTTTATTAACCACTTCAAGTCCAGACACTTTCACCCCCTTCCTGTCCAGGCCAATTTTTAGCTTTCAGTATTATCACACTTTTAGTGACAATTGCGCGGTTATGCAACACTGTACCCATATGAATTTTTTAGCATTTTTTTGAGACAGATAAAACTTTATTTTGGTAGTATTTATTTTTACTTTTTTTGCAATATAAATGAAAAAGTCCAAACATTTTGAAATTTTTTTTTTCAAATAAATAATATTTCTTCATAAATCTTGGCCAAAATGTATTCAGTTATCTTTTAAGTAAAAGAAATAATCCAAATTAGTTTATAACGAAAAATTTTTTAACATACTGTCACCATAGCAGTATAGTGTCACCACTTGTGGGGGGTGATGCGGTAAGATGCCGCTTTGTGAATTGTTCCTGTTCAAAGTTTGTGGTTGAACTTTTGGTAAGTTGGAATGTTTGACCGCAAACCAAACAGGGGGGGTGTTTGGCCCATCACTAATTGAAACCTTTATATACATTATGGGAGTGAATAAGGTTCAGGGGGGAAGCATTTTTTAAATGAAGTCAAGATCAAGAACACAAGGATATGACCTCAAACTAGCAGGTGGAAAGATCAAATCTAATCTTTAGAAAGTATTATTTTACTGAAAGGGTAGTTGATGCTTGGAACAGACTTCTAGCAGAGGTAAAGAGTCAGACAATAGTACATGGCTTTAAAGTGTTACTAAACCCAGGACCGTGCATTCTGGTTTCCCACAGTACACAGAACATGGAAACTTAATTATTTTAGTAAATACAAACTGCTAAATACCTTTTCTCATCAGCAGTATATGTCAGTCTTGCGACTTCTATTAGTGTCCAGCAGAGCACATGTTAAAGCTTGTGGGAGGAGTTTTTGTTTTGCTCTAGGAGGATGCAGAACCCCTGACCTCTGTCTGGACAGTGCTGATTGGCCCTGTGCTGATCAACGCACTCTCCCAAGAGAAAAAAAAAGAAACCTCTCTAGCAATACACACCAAACTGAGTATGTGCAGATTGACTCCACATGGTATGTCTTATCAGGAGATAAGAGGGGGGCACTGGAAGAAGGGGAGGATCAGAGAAGTCATGATTAAACAGCCTTTTTACACAATGCAGAGGATAAACCCCTTAGGTTCCACAGTAAGTATATCAAGCATGCATTACTGTATATACAGACTGATTTTACTATTGTGGGTTTAGTAACACTTTAAACATGCTTGAGACAAATACAGATCTATACTCTATACAAAAAAAAGTTAACAGAAAAAAAGCAAAAAACAAAAATTAAAAAATACGAAAACATGAATACATAAAAAACAAAACAAAAATACATACCAAAAAAAAGGGTAGACATGATGGACCACTTAGTCTTTTTTCTGCCATCACTTTTCTGTGTTCCTATGTTTCATGTCACATGTAACAGAAGGTTACAGGATCAGGGATACACAGTGCTGGAGGATGAGAGAAGATCATGCATCATTTTTTTTTTGTTCTAAAATAAAACAGCTTTCCAAAGAACGCTAATCCACTGTAGCTTATAGAAACTGATCAGATTGCACCTCTCATCAGTTACAGTGGACCTGTGCTTAAGAAGTAAAGATTTCCAAAGTTATAGGAGACATGTAGATATGTTAATTTTGCTGAAGCAGTGAGAATGTACCTTTAATCCTGAATTCCTACTGAAAAAGAGCAGTGGTGTGGGAGTGTGTCTAGGTACTCCTGTGTCCACAATCTCAGCTGTATATTAGCAGTGTGATATCCAAGGTACTGATGATCTCAGGAGATCTGGAGTGAGATTTGGTGATATTACTTTTTTGCTGCTCACAGTTCTCCTTGCTGGAGGCTCTGACATAAGGAAGCAAAGCTTAGCCTTAGCCAACGTGGCCACCTCAACTC